CGTTCTTAGTGGGATCTTACTAAACGAGACACTTCCCTTCGAAATGACCAGTAGTAAATAATCTGGAGAAGTAAGAGGCGTCGTTCTAGGAAAATCGAGACTGCGAAGAAAACGGAAGGAATGTAAAATGAAGTTATACAAGAGCTTTTACGATTTTACTTCAGATATTTGCAAAGAATTCTTTTTTTTTCTTTCACATTTAATAAATTTTAAGAGAATCTTGTTTATATCTCTTTTTTAGAGAAACTGATACTCTAATATTTTAAATTCACTTATAAAAACGTATTTTTATAAAATATAGGGGTATAAAAATGTTTGCAAAAATATGGGTATTCCGTAATGACTNTTTTCAAGGGAATATAAATTAACGATTCTTAAGTCTTGAATTAATGTTTGAAATTCTTTGAATAAGGATTCCTTAAAGTTATAACATGGCTTTACAAAAGAAATATGAAAATTGTGGCTAGTTTTTCATGTAGCTGATACTGGGTGAATGGTAATTCAATCCAAAACATATTAAGGATCTGCAGAATATTTTGTTATTACTTATTCATTAAAATATAATATTTCAAGGCTATAAGATAATAATTATAGATTCTAAAGTCTTGAATTAATCTTTGAAAATCTTTGATGAAACGTTCCTTAAAGTTATTACTAGGCTTTACTATATATATACATATATATATGAAACCAAGTAAAAAGTAAGTTAAAAAATAATAACCATTTTCAAGCAAATTATTGTTTGAGTGAAAAATACGCTATTAAAATCTCAGCTATTACTACTAGAGAAAGCAAGACTGAAAACAGCAAAATCTGTTTGGTTTTCGATGAAAACAGAGAGAAATTTAATGGCGGTAATTGGCAAAATCTTAAAGCTTCTTATTCCCAATTCGTCTTTTTTCTTTCTATTTTTTTCTATTCAAAATTTTAAAGAAATGTCCCCTGGTTAGTGTTTTATTCTTTATATGACATTTTATGTACACTAATAAATACAAGGATTCTCAATATATATAACAGCGGTCATTTGACAAGGGTTTCTTTATAAATGTATCAACTTTTTTTGGTCTACTCTCAGTCACCAAAGATTGCTTTTAATTATATATCAACCCTTTTTGGTCTATTCTCAGTCACCAAAGATTGTTTTTAACTATATATCAGCCCTTTTTGGTATATTATCAGTCACCAAAGATTGTTTTTAACTATATATCAGCCCTTTTTGGTCTATTTTCAGTCACCAAAGATTGTTTTAACTATATATCAACCCTTTTTGGTCCACTCTCAGTCATCAAAGATTTTTTTTTATTGTTCCAGTCGTATGTATTTGTTTTTAGGTTTCAAAAAATGAAAAGAAAAGAAAAAAAAACACTGATTTTATAATGTTGAATAGTACTTTAAAACAATATTTTTAAAAAATGTGGTCAAGTGTAATATTTTCCGTTCTTAAAAAGAATTATTTTTTCTTCACTATCCAGTCTATCATCTTCGCTTAATCAAAATTATTTCTGATCAGTGTGACAACCATTTACATAAACTCAATACTACCTCAAAAAGTAAAATTCTTTGGCGCATATGAAACTCGGGTCTCTTTTATGCTCATATTTTGTCGCGCTAATTACATGCAAAATAGAGTTTCGTAATTTTTAATTATAAAAAAAATCTACTAGTTAGTAAAAAAGAATCTGTTAGATTATCGAAATTATATGTACGGAAATATATAATCCAAAAAAAATGTTTTGAAATTTATTTTTTATTCATATTCAAAGTTTATCAATAATTGATTTTGCAAATTAAAGAAATTTCAATAATAAGTAACTGTTTCTATCAGATCTAAAAAACTTAAATCAAGTGCAAATTTGAAAAATTATTGCTTGGAATTGAGCCTCATTTGGAAGATTTTGCCTTCAACTCAGAAATATACACGATAGTGTTTCATGCTGTATTTCATATCCATAAATTACTAAACTGCTAAATATATTATTTACCACTTATTTAGTTCTAAATTAAAACAAAATAATGAAAAATATGTTTAATAAAAATTCTTCATCAAAGGGTTAAGGTTAACGACCACTGCAGATCTGTTGCATTTATTTTATAATACTGTTTTGATAAATGACAAAAATCATGGAATTAAATTAACTAGTAACCGTATTAATTTGGATTGTTTAATATAATAGCTGCTTTCGTATTAGTAAGAGATAGTATTAACTCTAGGAAAAAGAGACTTTTTACGTGGAATCAGGTTCAATAGATTCGATATTAACTCCTTACCTGTGACATATATTTCAGAAAAATGGGCCAAAAATGGAAGAAATATTTTTTTGTTGACTGTTTAGCTTTGTTCTTTATATTATTATGAAGGTTAGAAATTGAATTTTTATTACAAAAATAAAATTTTAAATGCAATAACTACTGTATTTATAATTTTTGCATAAACATAAAAAAGTAATGGATTGCACACACATCTTATTCAATTAGAGCAAATTAAACAAAATTTTGTAGCTAAATATAATATAACTAGTATAATATGATATCAAAACACAACAATATGATTTTCAATACATAAATTTTACAAATCTTTTCTCTCCCTCGACCCACATTTCCCACCCTCTTTTTCCCTCCCTCGACTGAAGCTGTAATTGGTGAAAAACTAGGACCACTAATGCCATCTATTAGGAAAATATTAAATTAAGTATCCTAAAGTAGAAACGAAATCAGCTCGGGCTTCACAAATTTAGAAACGTTAATTTTTGTCCTGCCCGAAGTCATTTCGGGCATCACAAATACTGCACGTAGTAGTTGCCCGAACTAAATTCGGCCGACACTCACAAGAGGTTAATCTATGGACTCATTTCAGATTAGTCTCTTATCTATTTATTTTTCCAATTAATACAAACTAAAGATTGATACAACTTTGAACTCAAATAAACTTTCAATCATTCGTGTGTTTTTTCCTTCTCATAACCGTAAAAACTAATAGCTACTTACACCAACAAAGATATTCCAACCTATCGCAATTTCGTTTTATTTTATTTTCAATTACTGTCGATTTTAAACTGAAAGGATCGCTACTAACGAATTAATTTAGTCTTTAATGTTTCAAGTGACTACCTTTAACACCTCTAAACACATAATCTATTGTAATAAAGAAAATGCTGCAGAAATTGTTCTTAATGTGCATTCTTTTCTATTCAAATACAATAAACTTCCCCTAATGACTATAAGTACGAAATAGGTTTTTAAATATTAACTTCCTATTTTCTAAACTGCTTTGCATAATATCTGTAATCATCGTTTCCATGCGTTAATGCTCAGAAATTTCAATTTCCTCCCTCTGTCTAATGCCCTCTTCTCAAATAGGGTTCCTTCTTTCATGAGTAATAACAACAGCAACAACTTAACACGGGTATTTGTTAAAAGGCATTAACATAAAACTTAACAAGGAGGTTATTTGAAAGCACACACTTTCATTAACCATTGCGTTTTGCGAGGTAATTACAGAAGTGAGAGTTTTTGTGGGTTATTATTTTTAAATAATGACTTTCATTTAAATATTTTTTTTTTAATATTGTAGTATGGTTTTGAAAGCAATTTATATCGTTTATTAAATTGTAATACCCCGTTTTTCCACCAGGGGGAAAGAGAATAGCGAATTTATAAAATTCTGTTTCCGAATCAGCCTTCCTCCCTTAATGCAACTTCCATGCAATTGTTCAAGAATAGGTACTTATGAAAAAGGTACTAAAGGTACTTATTTAGGTACTTATGAAAAACAATATTTTTAATAATGAAAAAAGGAGCACATTATATTTTTTTGAAAGTTGTTTGTAAAAAAAGTCAAAACAGTTTCATATTTAAAATAAAAAATTATTGTAATTGAACAAACTGAAAATATTTTTAGTTGTTTTGTGTATTGAAAAAACGTTTTAATATGCTTGTTCAGAGTTTTTGTACATGTCAGTATATTTTGTACTATTTTATATAGTGTTCTGTATGTTGTATCATATTGTATTATATATTTTTAAAAGCATTTCATGTAACGTTTGCCTTAAGACGTATTCCATAGTTAAAAAAATACATAATCCAAAATTATATCTAAATACACCACAATAAAAAAATGAATGAAATAATTTTTTTGAAATTGTAGTGCAAGTAGCATTTTTAATTACACGTCAGGAAAAAATGTTTTAATATAATATCTCCGCAGATATTTTAATAAGTTTTTCAATGAAATTTAAAAAATATAGTTGACACATAGAAAATTGACCAATATCAGAAATAAAAAAGTTCGTTTTAAAGGGCCACTGCCCCCTTTTTTAATATCAATAGTTCTATCAGTAATTTTTTAATGATTGTTTTTATTATGGTTCATCGAATTGTTAATGCGCTGAAAAATTAACCAAGCATTAATTTAATGCGCGATTCAGTAACAACAAAATAAATAAATAATCTAAGCAATTATAGAGTTGATGGTTTTTTTCTGTCAAAATTTTCATTTTTTGCAATGTACACATAAGATAGCGAACCCAAAACTATTTTTGATTTCAGAATATTTTATGAAAATAAAATGTCAAATAAATTAAAAGTTTCGCTTTTTTTTTCATAGCGTAGGATGTAGTAGGTGTTAACCTACTCGTTAATTAGATAGTAAATTTTTTTGGAGAAAATGAGTTTAAATTCAAAAAAGAAAAAAAAATATCATTTTTTTTTAAACATTTGAGTGTGATTTATGTTCTTGCAGAAAAAAGGGAAAAATAATTATTAGTGAAATTTTTAATCACGATTAAAATAATAAGAAAAATGGTCACAATGATTTCACAAATATTAGTTTTAAGTTATCATGCTCAATCCAAAAATCATCCTAGTTTAGATTCTTACCTAAAAAATTTACATTATTTTCCAATTGACAAAATGGATCAACAAAAAATAGCCCCTAGTTTACCTCGAAGTTAAAATTATTTTAATCAAATTCTGAAACCAAATACATTCAGAGAGTGACTCACCGAGTATTTGTCCTGCAACTGTTCTACCGTCTTCTCCGACCACTGCATTCCGAGCATCCCAAGTATCCGTGTACTGAACAAACGCGTATCCCTTGTGCATAGAGATACCTATGAGGCGACCATATCGACTGAAGATACGCTCAACCTCTTCCTTGCCCACCACGTAAGTGTTGAGGTTGCCCACAAACACTCGACTGTTCACGGACTGTGGGTCACTACTGTTTGTGTGGTTGCCCACCCGAGTCATTGCCGTGGTTGTGCTGCTACAGATGGGTGGTGTGACTCTGGGCTGAGAAGGCGGTGCAGCTTCTGTTATGCCTATGAGAACAAACACTTGGGATTAACGACAAAGGGTAAAAAAATAATTATTGCAATAAAAATTTAATGTGAAATTTTGATCTTCTGATGATCTTGGACATAAGATACCCATGCTGCGACTAGCTCTTCAGAGCAAATCATTTTCCATCTATCATTGTCTCTAGAGACAGGATACCCAAGTCAAAATTTTTGATGGTCCCATCAAATCATTTTGATGATTTATGTTGATTTAAGTACGATTCATCATGGTCACCATCATCCAACATTTTCCATTACGCGTTCATGGTTTTTGATATACCAACTAACTTTGATCATTCCATGATAGAAAATACTACTTTCATACTATGATGGTTAACCATAATGAGAAGTTTGATTCTTATGGACCAACAATCCATGATGATCCGTAATGGTCCATGATAGTTCTAACTATGCATTTCCATGTTGGTTTAATAGGAATTTTTGTTGGTTTTCAGGCATATACCATCAAAACAATTAGGTTTTTTTTATCTTGGCCCATCATAAATCAGTTCGAATTCTTACATTGGGATGATGGTTGTTCATGATTGTTCGAACATTAGATTTCTAAGGAACTATGATAGAAATTTCTGATGGGTAAACACGAACAAACCATCAAAACAAGTTGCTATTCTTATGTTGGACCAACATAAATCAGTCCGAATTCTTACATTGGGGTGATGGTTACTTACGTTGGTTATCATCAAAAATGTAATAGTTCATGATGGAATTATTGAGGGTTACCATCAAGATTATGTTGGTTCATCAATGGAAAACCATCAAAAAATTTGACTTGGGTAGAAAGATTTGCACTATTGTGCCCATTCTTGAGAGGAAGAAATTGGAATAGAATCTTAAATAATTGTTAAGTCCCACAGAAGCTAGATTAATATCAGCTTTAGGATGTGTGAAATTTATCGATGAGGTTTAAAGGAGAACGTTTTGGTGAATTTTCACAATATCATCTTTAGGATGTATAGAAATGAAATTATCGAAGATGTTTGAAGAAGAAATTTTTTGTGAATTTGAATATTGTTAGCTTTAGGATGTATAAAAATAAAATAAAAAATATCAAAGAGAATCAAGAAATCAAATATCAAGAGAAGGAACTTTTTGTGAATTCGAACTATATCAGCTTTAAGATGAACAGAAAAAAATTGGCTTATACATTTAAAAGAACTACTACAGTTGCTTCAAAACTGATCGACGATTTGAGAAATCTAATAAAGAAACACGATTGTAATTAATTCACCCCAAATTTCAGAATTAGTTTCAGGGTTTGAGATAACATGGCGTTTCTAACTTGGAAAAAAAAACTGTAAAATGATGTTTTCAGAATGACTACATCATTTCCAGGAAGAAAAAAAAGTAATGCAATCGGTGGATGAAAATAATAAACACGTGTGGAAATATTTCAACTTAAATGGTTTGTTAAGCGGCTTATAATTCAAAAATCAGAAGTGCCATCTGTTGACATATTTTGCAGCAATTTTTGGGAGGGGCGAAAATAAAAGGTTTCCTTAGCAAACGCAGCAGATCGTTCGTCTACATCTTTTTTTAAAATTATTTTTGGTCTACTAAATTTTATGCACTTTCAAAATTTAAGAGTTTTTAAAATGCACTTAACCATATTTACTCCCAAAGCTTTTCAAATGTGATAACTTAAAAGAACTGAGGGGGGAAACAAATTAAACATTACTGAGTGGCTTGTGTCCGTACATCATATTTAGTTCATAAATTAGTTTACATTTAAGCTTTTTCAAATTACTACACTCATGACTGTTTTTTTTTTCATAATAAAACTTTAATAATAATCAGATCACAATAACTGAGTTAGCTGTTTATTTTTATATTATGTTATTGATGATATTGATGTTATTCAAAAAATGATGTTCACGGCATTAAAAACAAAGATCAAAGAAAAAATAAATTGGAAGTTTTTTTTGTTAAGTGCTTAAATTTTGAATTTTTTAGTTAGGCGCTTTAGGAACATTCTAGAATTCGAACCGTTATTTTTAAAAGCAAATTCCTTCAATTATTATTTAAGTGCTATATTATTGGTATATTCAAGCATATACCGTATAATTTATTTACGATTTAAGATGGGAATATTCCAATCTTTATAATTTATTTCCTTTTGATTCTTTACCTATTAATATTTTATTTAATTCTTAATCTAATAATCAATACAGATTCCTTAAATTAACTGTCTGATTTAAAAATTTATCACAAGAGAAACAGTTGAAGATTTAAAAAAAAATTCTTGCAGCAAATATGTATGACAGAGCATGCTCGTCTTTCCCGAAGTTCTTGCGTTTAGTTTAAAATTTTTTCTATAGATGGCACTGAAAGAAGTAAATCTGTAAACCAAAGAAGAACAATTTAAAGTTACATCACAATTTTACAAAATCTTTATATGAATTGAAATCACATTACATTTTCGAAATCAGATAAAGTATATTTTTGGACAAAGAAATTTTTATACAATCAAGGCAAAGAAAAAAATACAGTAAAAAATGTTTGCAGCACCACCTATCGGAAAATGTTTACACAGAAGCAAAATTATGACAGGAAAAAAATAAGGTTATCTCTTGTCACAAGCAACGGCCAAAAAAATTATTGCTTTAAGTTTCTCTGTTCTTCTGTTATAAATTTTTAGTAAACTGTCTGTCCAGTTTAAAACGGTATGATTTATTATCATAAACATTGACAAAACATATTTGTACTGCTAAAAGATTTTCAATTTGGATAATTTCTTAGCTTTTTAACTGTATTTAAAAAATGCCGCAGACATAATCAATAGAAAGCCGCATAGTTTGCAAGAAAATGCTAAGAAGTGCTGATCTAAAACAATATTCATTCAACTGTGGATAATAAGTCGAAGCTGTGTCTTTAACTTCATAATCAATTTAACTTACTAAAAAGTTTATTCCCTTTCCGCATTGTTAAGGAAAAAATTGAAACTTAAATTCTGAATCAGCATAAAACAAAGAAGAATTAAAATTTTACTATGTTCGCAGACGATGTCAAGAAAAATAAACTCTTCAACAAATTTGCACAATGAGCACTCAATTGATCTTATTTTATAAAATGACGACAGAAAGTTCTTTTTTAACTTCAGACTGCGATGCCAAGTTGGGGGAAATGGAACGAAAAATCGCGCCTATCAATCTCAACTGCAGAAAAAGCTGAAGAGAAAAATTTCAGTTTGTTTTGACAAAAGAGCTGAAATGGTAACGAATGCAATAATATATCATTTTATTTCTTAAGCAAGATAATTTTTTATTTCATTTTTTTTCTTCTTCAGACGACATTTAGCCATTTTTTTTCTTGGCTCAAAGAATAAATTTTTGAAGTTCTCAAAGGAATAAAATCGCAATTTAAAGACTAGATAGCGTGAAAAAACTTGAAATGCAACCTTCAAAGCTTTTTTCTCTATTTTGACTAAATTTTTTTAAAGCATATAATTAGTGACAGCTGGAATTTTTTCTGTGAAAAATGAAATTTGTATGACTTTATCAAAAATTCCTTTACGTTTTATTCCTAAAGTTATAAGTTTATGCTTTGTGTAGAAATAACTTACGAAAATAATATTTTTTCCTCTTCGAATCTCCGTTTTCTCAAATATTTTAAAGAAAATATGTATTTATTTACCAGCAAGCTTCATTATAAATAGTATTTTTATTCGTTACAGGATTTTTTTCGCAAACTAAACTTTTTGATTTACTTGTTCGAACTTGCTCAATTGGGTATTCGCTCTTCAAGAAGATCTCCCATATCCTCGGATGTAACCAATGACATCAGAGCCAGTTAATTTTCATCAGCAAAATGGCGCATTAAAAATAAAGTTTCTCTACTTAAGTTAGAATGTCAATTAACAATAAGTTAATGAAATGCGGAATCGTATCGCACATCGAATTAGGTGAAATATAATTCTTACTTGTCTACTTCTTATATTTAACTTAGACTTATTATTTGTTTATGTATTTTATTGTAACTGTAATATATTTTTGTGTTGTGGACAAGGCAACTGTGATGCATAATTAGTTTGTTTATGTTCCGCATGGCTTCATGCCTGTCTTTGTGTTAAGTCTCTGTGTAAATATTTAGTGAAAGAATTTAAATCATTGAGAAAGCGATTCTTTCATTTATTTGTGAAAGAATTTAGAAAGTGTCACTTAAGAGAATCGATACTTGACGGTCTTGGCTTTCTCGAATTAGAATGGTAAGAACAGCTGCTAACGTAAACAAATTCCATGTTTCAACATTCAATCAGGATCGAGATACCCACATTACGTCACTTGCAGGTATTCCATTTCATAATGCAGTGTTTCCCAAACTTATGACTTTTGTGTACCCTTTCTAAATTTTTCGTAACGCTCTGTACCCCTAATAAGGAATGCATTTTTTACTATAGAAAAATTGCTCAAAAACTTAAAATCACAACTGGCTGTTGACACCACTAATTATTAACTGTTATCTCTGCAAAAAATAGCTAATAGAAAAATACGTAATCGTAAATTTTCATGTTTTTAAATACATTTTTTTGAAATTTTCGTTTGCTTCAAAATATTTCGCATTAGAACGCGTACCCCCGCTAAACTGTTCCCGTACCCCTGGGGGTACGCGTACCACACTTTGGGAAGCACTGTCATAATGCATCCAAGAAATAATTAACCATAAACCATGAAATCGCCATTACTTTAAATATATATAAAAAATCAATTTTATTAGTACTATTACTTTATACTACTTACTTGTAACTATTTACTTATACTATTTACTTGTAATTTTACTTGTAACTATTACTTTCAATTTAACTTCAAAAATATTAACGGAAGTATTTAAATGGGACAAATATTTTCTTACCAGTATAAACTACAAATTTTAAAAAGAAAAACATAATATTAAGAACGAATTAGGTTAAATAATTCCAAAAAAATTAAAATATAAATAAAGTCTTGTATTTTATATTTTATTTTTTG